CATGAGTGGGGGGCACAGGGAGGATGGAAGGGGAATGGGGGGATAAGGACACATATGTAATACCTTAATCAATAAAGAAAAAAATTTTAAAGATAAAAAGGATTCACACAATAAATCAAATCTGTCACATAGGAAGTTTTTTAATAAATAAAATGTTAAAATTAAAAAAGAAGGAAAGAAAGGGAGAAAAGAAGAGGACAGGAAATCCAAGAAAAGTAAAGAATCAAGATGGAAGAAAGGAGGAAGAAATTTCTGAAACAGAGCAGATCAAGGAGTTTCCAGGAGGGATGTACCCAAGATTAAAACGCATCTGAGAGGTAACTTGATATGGGTGACCATCCTGGTAAGTCGGTGGCTGAGTGATAGATGAAGAGTTAAACACACAAACAAAATGTGTGTTTAACTCTTGATGAGGCAATTGTTAATTCCAGGAAAAATAAAATGTTTAACAAGAAATGTAATCACAGTCATAGTAAAATACCTCACTTATTGGTGAATAATATTCACATAACTCTAATGCTTTAAACTTTGAATACTTTATTTAATTAAAAATTTTGAAATAATTAGGAGTTTGAAGCAAGAGGAAGAATGCTGTGAGAGAAAAGAATTAAATTATCTTCTATGGGAATCAATCAATAAATGGTATCTAGAACTGTTAAATGAAGAAATCAGAGTATAATCATGTTACTGAGGAATGCATGGATAAGGAGCTTAAAAATATGTAGGAGTTGAATGGGACTGCTTCTTAAAAAACAACTCAAAAGTGTGGAGAAAAATTACGATGCTATTAGCTAATATTACCCCAATACATTTAATTTAGAAAATTCTTTTTAATTGAGCTTAAAAAAGTGTGGTGATAGAACAAAAAACTGCTTAGTTTTTATATAAACTATTTGACTTTTAAGACCCTTACATTTACATATTGAAAATTAATTTTAAAATTTGGAAAGTAACTATTTTATTTTAAAATGGTATTTTTTACATCACCTTTAACAAAGAAATGTGTTAAGTGAGTGAATGAAACACTACTTTGCAATTTTGTCTATCTTCTCTAACCAAGAGACACAAAAGATTACATTCTAGTCGTTATCACTTATATGTATGACTATGAAGGAAGATCTGTTTTGTCAACTTTTGTATCCCCAGATCTTAGAGAATATTGACATTTTTTTTAAGGGGAAAAAGGACCTTGTCTGAAACAGGTTTGAAGAAGACCCAAATCCATTGTCACCAAAAATATTCCGGGCTACTCTGTCCTCTTTGATAATTGCACGGCCTTATGAGGTGTCAGTTCAAATTAGAAAAGTCACTTTTTTAGGAATGGGCACTTCCTACTCCAAGAAAAGTGAGGCCAAGTTAACAAAACCGCAAAGACTTGGCTAATTCAAGCACAAGCTAATTTATTATTATTGGCCCAAAGGGGCCACTCTTTTTTTTTTTTTCCTGCGCAGGCCAATATCCACAACTGTACAGACGCCAGTGGCAGGGCGAACGTTTTCATCAGTCGGTGGGAAGCATTGTTTCTCAGCCAAAACGGAGGGAGACTGGAATTTGTTCAGTGTAGTCATCCAGACATCTCCAGTAGATCCCAGCCTTTCAAATCTGCATCTCGTAAGAAAATACCTCAATTTTCCATATCACAAGCTGGGGAAACAAATCTGAATCCTTCAAGGGCGAGCTCTTTTCCAAGGACTGCAACCTACCACCGCCAGCTCAGGATTTACGAGCCCAAGGCCGGGGACGCACAACATCTAGCGCTCCGGGATCCCAGCCAAGCGGTGCACCTCCGCCTTGCCTTTCAATAAGCCGCTTGTGGTCTGGCTGCCCCGGAGTTCAACTTCCGGTCACAAAGTGAGAGGATGTTTTCCTCCTGACTGAGCTCATGTTAAAAAAAGATACCTAACCGAGTTTTGAGATCAGGAAATTCTTCCTGAGTTATGTGTGCAAACCTTGAAAGATGAAAGGGAATACCCAGCGGGAAGAGTGAGGAGGTAGA